ATGTTTAACTTTCTCTCATACTCGGCACATATACTGAATAGCAATCTTATGGCTTCCATCCGAATAGTCGGTGAAAAAGTCTCCTCGTAGTCAAAGCCTGGCCTTTGCGTGCACCCCATAGCCACTAACCGTGCCTTAAATCTTATTCCTGACACAGCAGCAAAGTCTTCTTTAGTAGAAAAAATCCACTTACATTTTATCACCCTTTTTCCTATCGGACGTGCAACTAGATCCCACACTTTATGCCGTTTCAGCGATGTTATTTCATCGTTCATTGCTTGTTTCCATCGGGCCCATTCCGCCGACAGCTTCGCTTCCTTGACAGATTTTGGAATTTTTATATCGGTACATTTCATCACTCTCTTTCCTCTTATTCTTGTTGACCTCCTCAGATCTCTTTCTTTATCCAGTGTTTCTTGCTCTCGTTTTCGTAGATATTCTCTCACTTGAATCGCTTCTTTTGTCGTCCCCCCTTTTTCTTCCTGCTCTTTCTCTTGTTGTTGGCTCTTCCAGCGATATATCACTCATTTGATTATCATCATAGATTTCGTCTATATTGTTTTCATCGCTTACAATGTCCACCCTTGCATCATCATAATCACTACTATCTTCGCCACCCATTCTTTCTTCTTCTCTCAACTCTACTTCATTCTCTTCTCTTTCTTCTGTTCTCGAGTCTTCATTTGTATCTTCTTCGTCCTCTAACTCTAACCCAGCAATAATCAAGTTACTATTTTCATCATCTTCATTATTTTCTTTTTCTTCACAATGCAACAGGTCCGAACCATTCTTCTCTTCGTAAAATTTCACATCGCAGTCGCTTTTGATATTTCCGGTTTCAATAATGTACACACGATAAGTACCACTATTATTGTACCCCATGAAAATTCCTCTTATTGTTTTCGATTCAAATTTTCTTTTAATCCCTCCTTTCCTTAGCGCGTACGCTGTACAACCGAATCTTCTCATATGTTGTATGTTCGGAGGTTTATTGTACCAAATTTCATACGGAGTTTTTTCATGGACCCGTGACTTCACCCTGTTTCTTATATAGGCGGCCGTATTTGCTGCTTCTCCCCAAAATTTCAAATCGAGTTTAGAATCTGCTAACATTGTCCTTGTTGTCTCAATTACAGTTCGATTTGCTCCTTCTGCAATTCCATTACATTGTGGGGTTATAGGAGGACTTAATTCATGTACTATACCTTTAGCTTCGAACCAATTTTTTAAATTTTTACCCAGATACTCTCCACCATTATCTGATCTGATCCTTTTTAATTTCAATTCAGTTTGGTTTTCTTTCAAGGTTATCAATTTTGTTAATTCTTCCGCGGCTTCACTTTTTTCTCTTAATAACTGTATAAAAATCATCCTGGAATAATCATCAACTACTGTCAATATGTAATTTTTATTACCAAATGTAGGTGGTTTAATGGGACCTATCAAATCAGTATGCCATAGCTCCATTATTCGATTTGTCCTTCTTCCTTCAAGTCTTCGATGGGACTTTTGGGAAGTCTTTCCTTCGATGCAGGGCTCACATTCATTTTTCCAGTTATTTGTCATCCCCAACACTAAGTTTTCTTTCTTCATTTCTTCGATAATTGCTTTACTTGCGTGACCTAGCCTCTTGTGCCACACATCACTTTGCTCTATTACTGCTGCAGTTCTCTCGTGGTCTAAAAAAGTTTTTACATAATATGAATCTTCAACCCTTACCGCTGTCATTTCTATTCTATTCGGCTGTTTGTATACGATCGCTCCGAGTCTATTGAAGTTAACATTGTATCCTCTATCGGTTATTTTGGCAACTGAAAGAAGATTAGAATTCAATTCAGGTACACATAATACATCTTTAAATCGCAAAGAATTTTCACTCGAAGATTGTCGTACAGTCACATCGCCAACACTTTTCGATGTTAATATCTTACCATCTTTGTCCGCTAAACTTATTTGTCTTTTTTCTTGAATTGAATTCTTAAAAATACATTCATTATTAGTCATGTGACTCGTCGCTCCAGAGTCTAACAACCATGTACAACAGGAATCATTCTCATTCTCACTCATTTCTCTCTCTGTACACTCACTCACCTCACACAGTTTGTCCATGTTCGAAATTTCTTTCACTCTCATCACGGCTTCATTATTGGTTCTTAGCGCCACTTCTTTTCTTCCAGAGTGATGTTTCGTGTATCTTTCGTAAGTTCCTCTTTGAAAATTTCTTCCCTTCTCTTTTTTCGCAGGCGGTGGATTCCTCCTTGGTTCGCGACACTCCGACGCAATATGATCGAAGCGTTGACAATTAAAGCATCGTTTCTTTTTATAGCATTCTGCCGCCATATGTCCTTTTAATCCGCAATTGTAACAATAAATGTCACTCTTAGGGCCTTCTTTTACTTTTCGCACCGCTTCGTGATCTCTGGATGTCCGTTCTTCTTTTCTTCTTTCTCTTCTCTGCATTTCTTGGTTTAGAGCAAATCTTATGTCAAATATAGATAAATTTCTTTGCGTTTCTAGAACTCGTACATTTGGATCAAATTCGAGACGGAGTCCTCTTAATATATACATCTTTAATTCGTATTCTTCGATGTCCTTCCCGAGCTGTTTACATTGGTTTCTCAATGCTTCCGCTCTGTTTATGAACGCGTCAACGGTTTCGTCTTTACCCATTTTTAAATTTGTCAGTTCGTTAAGAACTCTAGTTTTTATTTCTTCTGTTCCCGCAGCCATATCCAGTTTGATCATTTTCCACAATTTGTCCGCACTCTTTTCATGGCTATATTTAAGTAATTGTGCCTTACTCATAGTATTAATCATTATCGTTCTTGCGGCATAATTATTATCATCCCATTCGTCCCATTCTTTCCACTTATTTTCATATTGATTGCTCCCTTCAACTGGTTTCTCAATTGGTTTGACACCGATTACCCTTTTCCAGAGCCTTTTCGATCTCAAGATACCTTCCACTTTTTCACTCCAAAGAAAATAATTCGAGTCATCGAGCGGTTCAACGTTCACTGTGTTCCATGTATCCGCCATAATTTTTAATTTTTCACACAAGGAACCACGAACCACGGACCTCTGCTACCAATTTGTGAGTAAAATTAACAAAAATGTATTTATTCAAACAACGACGACACTATACAAAAGATACGAACGATAAACCCACTGATAAAATCGAGTACGATTTTTCTCTTTGTTCTCTCGGTTAGACACGTGTTCCAGCTCACATTTGTTTTGACACTCTCTCTCTCTCGATCCTTGATTCGTACTGCCTGTTAGGCACAACGTTCGGTCGCTCACGCTCTCGACCATGAAACACATATTCTCTAGATACATCGCCATGCTCACTTACAAAAATAAACACTAGGCCACGACATACAAATAAAGTTCACTTTCTTATCTATGATAACCATATTACCACAAAAGTTAATTAAATTGATTGCCCTTGTCATGTGAAAATAATATTTGTTGGTAGATAAGTGGGAGAACTTGGATATATATATATATTGCAATTAGCTCTTTATAATCGTGTAGAACATTGTTGGTTATCCATACAGCCGAGGTGCCGATTCTGGGCATTTAAACGTTGCACTTATCCAGCCAATCTTTTGTTGCATATATCCAGCTTTTACTGTATTCGGAAAGATGGTAAATATTAATCCTATTAATGTAATAACTTTACTGTCTGCTGCGTTTGTTGAGTGGAACCAGGGACCCACGCCAATTAATAGAGCAGAAGAAAATTTAAGGGATGTATTATTCGATTTAATTGTAAGAAGTGTCAAAGACACGGCATTCCTGGTTGAACATGAAACGTGTGTTGAAATGGACGGGACGCCTATCGACCAAGAAAATCAGGATGCTGATTTGAACTGGTTGTGGGTAGATGAAGAGGAGGAAAATAGGACACCGAATATTCCAAACATATACGAACAAGACGTTGTATGTCATTCGAATAAGGAATACATCCCATTCGAATATAAAAGGAAAGCTGTGGCGTACTGGAACAGCGGGAAGTCGAAGCGATTAAAATTAGACACCGTATGTTCCAAATTCCGTCACGTGAAATCCGAAAGAATGCTTCGTAAATGGGCTTTACAAATTGAACAGGGTGGCACAAAAAAGGAAAAGATAAAACGTATTGCAGAGTATACATTTAATAAAATGGAAGCTCGGCAGTTAAGAGTAATTGTGCATGAAGTAGATCTACGGCGATGGGCTTTACAAGCGAGGGACATAGAAAATTTACAAACATTTAAAGCCGGATATACTTGGCTATATACTTTTAAAAAGATGTTTAGATTAGTGTCCAGAAAAATTACCAGATTTGTAACCACAAATATGGTAAATCGAGAAGACGATATTCATTTGCAATGCAGCGCATTCGTGAATGAAGTAAAATCATATATAGCCCGAAATGAACCACACAATGTTTACAATTCCGATCAAAGTGGTTTTAATTTGGAATTACATTCAGGGCGCACTTTGGCTGAAGAAGGTATAAAAATCGTAGAAGGAGGTGTTCAATCAGTGTCATCCACCACTCATAGTTACACCATCCAGCCAACCATTTCAGCTGATGGACAATTACTGTCACCATTATTTATTGTACTGAAAGAGAGTACAGGACATTTCGGGCCGATTGTGGAACAACATTTATTTCGCCCTGACAATTCGAGATAGCCGTTTCGAGCCAAAACTTCAAGGGGTGGTTTCACCCCTTAAACTCGAGTTACCGCAGCTAAAAAAAAATACGTGTCGATTATTTTTGGCTGCTTTATAAGTGTACAAAGTTTCATCAAAATCGAAGCCGGACCGTTCGCGATGGTTCCTTGTCAGTATAAACCAGCCTACCTACAATTAAAAAAAACATCACAAAGAAGATCGAAAAAATATTGAGTTCTATCTAGACAGTAATACTCCCTTAAATCGAAACGGAATCGTTTCTTTCATTTTCGAGGCCTAAATTGACGAGGAAATTATTGTTCTTTTTGCAGTACACGGACTGGGAGCAGATGAACGACGGCTATCTGAATCAGAAGATGATCGCTGACATAGTTGGCGACTACTTCTTCATCTGCCCGTCGATACACTTCGCCCAGCTGTTCGCAGATCGCGGCATGAAGGTCTATTACTACTTTTTCACACAGGTAAGCAGTCGAATCGAAGACAATTGTGCAAGTTGGCTACTTTTTATTTTTTACTAGCGTGTCTTGGACCTTTAAAAATGCCCCACGACGCTGGTTACTGTTAAAAGTGTCTTCTACTGTAAAACACGTTTTCTTTTGGTCTTCGTTGCTATTTTTCTTTATAAAGAAACTAGCCAACTCCTTGCATCGGCGTTTTTCATATACATTTGTCACTCTTTCAATAATATTAACAAATTTTTAGAATGCGAAACAGTCAAAATTAGTGGTAGTAACTCGTACTCACGTCGACACAAGGAATAACATTTATTATTTCATCCAAAAGTCGATAAAAAATAACGAAAGAAAAATATTTGTATCTTAAAATGTTGAAGAATATATATGGAAAGTGGTGAAAAGTTTCATCGAACCCTTATGCTGTAAAAAAATTATAAAAGATTGCTTCTCGTTTTACCATTTTAAATGAGTCTCCCCCCTTAAACGAAAAGGTCAGACCGTTCAAACAAGCATAGTTCGATAAGCAATACGTATAACTTTGTTAATTTTAGGAGTTCAATGACATACTTTTATACATGTACTTCTTTAAGAAAATACAGAAAAAAACCGAATTTTTTGGTGGTTTTCAGTAGAAGACGACTCTTAATGTGCCCCACTAGTCGAGGATTAAACTAACGGAAAAAGGATTGAAATTAGTCGTGCGTCGGGGACGCGTCGCGTGAAACGAGATCGATAGTTCGCCCCGTTATGTTACAGCCCTACCAACGCGACCGTAGCCTGACTTTACGCGGCACAAAAGTAGTCACGTGACGAACGAGAGTGATAACGCGGCTCGTGATTCTTTTCCGTCCCCCAATTTAAGCCGTTATCAGTGCCAGCTAGGAATCGACTCCTCGATGAATACATTATTCAATCGCGTTTCCTCGATTTATTTCCGAAACGCAAACACTCCGACAGGGTCAATGGGTCGCGTGACTTCCGTCTTGGAAACGTATTTAACTCGTCCACACTCCGACCAAAATTGAATTTTCTACGAGATTTTAGCCTTAGACGATCGAATCTACTATTCAATTTGACGATTAGAATTAGAATTGGAGAACCGATAAATTTATTCGTTTTTCCTTTCCATTGTCCCGTTATCGATTTCTTTCTTTGTCGAAGGTACGTCGAAAAAACCCAGCAATTGATTCGATACTGGCGAGGAGCTTCTAAGAGCTCCTTTTATACTTGAATAAAGGTCGGCCAGATATTACAGAAGATTTTCCTGTTAAACTTCTTCTATCTTTATTGCTGCATTTTGTCCCGCGAGACTACTGTCGTGGAAAAGAAAGTATCGTACACGGCGACCGGGAGCTCCGTTTTGTGAGGAAATTTTATGCCGCGAGTAATATTGCTCGATAATGTATCAGCCCGGACCAGTAGTAAGGGTTAACCATTGGTCGGACGTGGTTTGAAAATCCTTAATAAAAAAAAACGTATGTGTTTTATTTTTCTTACGTCAAAATAAGAATATAGCAACAGATGTTAAATGAATATTATCGTCTCCAAATTTGAAAAAGTACCATATTTGCAGAAAATGTAAAAATTATACAACCCCGAAAGAAACGAGTAATAATTATCACCGTCTTCGCTGTTCGTTTTTTACTGTTTCTGGCATCGAAGTGTGTTTTATAGGAGCGTAAAAATTGCTTAAAATTATTAGACTTTCATCGTTTCATTTTTCTTGTAGAAAGAGGACCGTAATTTCCTTGTTCTTCAACGGTTAAACCTTTTTGCGGGACATCTCGGTTCCAATGTAGCTTCTTTAGCCCTCCTTCGAGTTTATCACGAAATTTCTCGATATATATTCTCGCAGCGAAGTTATAAAAGTGAGTATATACGGGCCGCTCATGAGAGCTCTTGAACTTTCATCGCCTCTTTAACTCGAGAGGACATTAGAGTTCCACAATTTATGTAGCGTACGAGTGGAACGTTACGAGACCCGCGAACCAAGAAATATCCAACCTCGGGAGTTGAGGATTGAACCTAGAATAAATATTACGGACAGACCCTAACTCCGTACAATTTTCAAAATGTTTTAATCCGGAGTTGGCCCAAATTTCTCGCATTAATCGCTTTTCCTAACCCCTCGTTCCACTTTTCGCGATCTTTCGAGGGCTTACTGTAATTCTCGTCGTTCGAAGGTGGTCATTATTAATATTCGAAAGAAAAATGATTAAAACTGGAGTTCAATTTTTCTTACGAGATGCCTTTAATAAATAGGGAAATTTTAATACGAAGTTCCGGAGTACCTTGACATTTTTTAATCTTTGCAATTTAAATATCGTTTACAAAATTTGAAAATGGTCATTTTTAATATCGTTATAATATTTCCCTACATTTATGGCGAAAAATCGTTAGCTTGAAAAATATTTCGTAATATAGTAGTTTGTGACAAGTATGATATTATTAACCCCTTGACGTACGATTTAATGAAATTTTTCAAACGTGTACTATTTAATTTTGTTTAAATTTATTCGTACAAGTAATGGCCACGAAAAAGAATAGATTTCTTGATTTTAATGTATAAAACTCATGATTGTGAAACTTGACATTAAGAATTGTGTCAGACATGTGGCGTCGCGTCCCACGCTCGCCGCCAGAGGGGTCGCGCTCTCACAAGCGCTCGACCGACCCCTCGGTTGCTATACATATACATTTCTCGAACGACTTCCCAATATCCCAGTCGTCTAAGGCAGGGCCTGCTAGAAAGCCTTACTGATGAGTCCACTAGCAGGCCCGGACGAAACGCGCCCCCTCCTTTCCTTTCCTGCGCCTCCTACGAGATTTCCCACGAATTCCTAACCCGCAGCAAATCAGCGCTACAGACACGTTATTGTTGAGGGGTTAAAATATCTGGAAAACTATGGACGATATTAGAAAAACATTTCGTATAAAAGTTGCACAGTTTCGAAGTCTGAATAGTCCTACGTAATTAAATTTTCCCGACAGGGTACGTAGAGGTCGAAGGTCAACCTTGTTTCCGTAAATGGAATTATTTTCATCATTTTGGGGATAATCGAGGAGGTGGTGTATCCTGCACAAAGTAGTACGCGATCTGCTGTTTCTAGCGTCCCTCGACGCCCTCAGAAACGGGGTTGTTTCACTTTCGTGGGCCGATCTCGGCCCGTTTCACGCGCAGCTGTCGAATAACTGGAACGTGAAACGCGCGTAAGCGGAATCCCGAGGCCTCGAGTAATTAGCGAAGGAGGTAATTTATCAGGGCGCGGCGGTGGAAGCAAAGGAGGATGTCATTACTCATGCGCGCCGGCCGTAATCTTAATAACGGTTTCGCTAGGCGGTTAAAGCAACCCCCTTGACGTGCGACCCGTCCTACCCCATCTTCGGGCCTTCCTTCTTCCGTCACGCCTAGCAAACTCCTTTTCCGTTTCGAGCCTGTTAATCTCCGCGCTTCTGCTTTTACTCCCCCTCCCCGCGACAAATTCCTTTGAAATCCCCGACCTATCCCACCACTCATAATCCAAAGTTAAGAGGTTCTTCGTGGTGTGAACTGTGTTTTTTTTAAATTTTTTTAAGGGTTGAAACCGCTGTGACGGCTGAAAAATAAGGCAATTTTCACGAATTTTTTGGGCGTAACTGTGAGAATTTTTCTGATAAGTGTTTAGCGTTTTCGAAAGTACGTTTCTTTAACTATTTCTTGTAAAAAGTTCGTATGAAAATATGAATTATTATGGGCATAATTGGAACCAGCGTGAGAGGCTTAACGTTAGAAACGAGTGGATGAGTAATTTTTCACTGCAAATTGTGAAACAAGAAATCGTGCAATTTTCTTAAATTATAAGACAACAGCTTCGGCTGCACGTACGGATTCTTGAAAATAATTATTATCATATGGTGGATCTTTGAAGGAAAAATGTAAAAAAACTGTGACAAACTCAATTTTCTCTTTAACGCCACGTCGAAACTAATTATTCTACTTTTGCAGTCAAATTTACAGGGTTTATTTGTACATATTTCTGTGACATTTCAAAATTTTTTTGGCGTAAAAAAGTTAAAACTGGTGGCACTGTATACTGTCAAACACAGTCGCTTCACAGTGTCCATGATTCCCCAGCCATTCTATGATTCAACAACCGTGATAGAATCTTAATTAGTATGAATTTGACCATAGCTAGTACCAGAACAAAAAATCAATGATTACAAAAATGACAACACTTTGAAGTTAGATTAACGATCTTTTCATGCATCTAAATACATAAAAAAATAACAATTTTAAGTTGATTTTGGTAGGGGGACTGTATCGAGCGAAAAGTGTGGTAAAATCAGCCAGGAATCTCCCCGACCATCCGGCGTTAACAATTCGTTTCTTAAAACGTTGCCGTACCCGTCCACCGATTAATCTTTTGCTCATAAATAATGACACGATTAAGCGGTCGCCAATTACTTCTTCCAGTACGTTAACGCTTACGTTGATGGTTGATTGTGAAATGGCGTGACGGGGTTTCTTCGTATTCGCTGACGAACATTGTGAAAACTCGGCGAACCGTGTCTGGAAAATTGAGCTCCGTCAGGAAATAAAAGTCCCCTTCTCCCGATCTAGATAATTTTGATTGGTCACAGAAATCCGTAATAATCGCGCGCAGAAGGTCACTAGGTGAATGAATAATAGCTGTCGGCAATTCCTGACTCGGTACGACAGGGGCTCGCCCCGTATTCGCCTAACTATCGCGTGTCGCTTGTTCTCCGGTTCTGACAATCGTTCGAGTGCTATCCCCGTCACTTGAAATACACGGAATGACAACCGTGACGCAAAACATGAAAACAAACGAAGAAATTTATTATTCGAATCGAAACAATAATACGTTACATTGGTTCCATTAACAAAATATTGAAACAAGATGTACTGTTATTCGTATAAAAGTTGTCTATGCCAAACTATTCGTTTAATTAACCCTTTGACTTTTCTCCGATAACTTACTACTAACTCAAGCACACTGTCTCACGAA